TATCGCTTAAATGGGAAGAAACTATTTTAAAAGTGGTTCCCAATTGTAAGACTATTTGAATGAAAGGAAAGATGAATCCCACCTTGCGGTTTGAACTAAAAAAGGAGATCATTAATTTTGGGCATGGATGAAGCAGGCTCCATAATTATGTAAATGTTGTGAAATTCCATGGCGCAAAAAAATTAGTAATACATTGATTTTCCTTATTCGCGAAATGGACATAATAGGAGCCGCCTGAAGGACAAATATTCTCAAATCTTGGATGCTGCTCAAAGTTTTTGGAGATTAGTCAAGGTAGCGGAATCGCCACAAAATAAGGAAGAAGACTGTGGTGGGAATATGCCACTCTCTGCAAAAGCTCTTGGCAATAACTTGATAATTACAGATGCATAGAGACAAACAAATGTCATTAAAAATGCTTATATCCTGAAAAACTTTATTGAGAAAGATAAAATATATGATTCCTTGATGGATAAATGAGTTTGATCAAGTTAGAGATTAAGTTCCTTGGCATAAGAGGAGACAACTTCGTTAAATAAATCATTTCCTCTCATTTCGCGCTAAGGATGACAAGGGTATGCTAGAATCAAAAGTTGTTGATGGCTCAATAAATGTGGACAATTAAAAAGGCGTCATGGGAATGGACAAAGCTATTATATAGATAACATGAGGTTGGTAAAAGAATTATTCTAGACGTTACAAATCCAACTAGTTTCAGAATAAATCCAAGAATTTAACCGTTTCCTAAAATTGAGGCGGTAAACACAAGTCACCAAAAAATCATCTCTGTACCCCCATAACCAATGTATCCTTCTATAACTTTCACCTTCACACAAATTTTCTGGACACACTAAATGATATTCATATTCCTAATAATATTTTCGAGACCTTATCTGATGAAATTGAAAAAGTGTCATTGAAAGATGAAATGTTGGGCCTTGGAGAAGAATAATGCATGGGAAGATCCCGATCAGCTAGGGAGGGAAAAAAAAAATTTTTTTCAAGGGTCTACGTGCAACTGTGAAATACAAAGCTTATGGTACACTGGAAATGTATTAAGTAAAGACTCGTGGTAGCAAAGGAGCAGCCGTATGGACAGGGACTACCAGGAAAACTTTTGCACCTGTGGCAAATGAATACTGTGAGGATCTTGCGTCTCACTAGCAACTAAGTATAACATCATATGGAACAACTGGATGTCCACAAAGATGCATTCCTACACGAGGAGTTGGAAGGAAGAAATATTTTATTTAGAGATTCACCAGATCCAAGAAAAAAATCATAGGGGGACAAAGTGTGTAGGTTTAAAAAAAAGTTCTATATGGGCTAAAGAAGACGCCCTAGAGCTTTGATATGAAAGATTCCAAAGGTTATGCTATTCAATGGTTATCGATAGACCAAGGGACTATATATTATTCTTCAAGAAAATGATGAGTGTAAATAATGTATATTTATATGTTAAATTGTGTAGTGAAAATTGTTTTTAGTAGTGTTGCTGTGTAGAGAAAATGCAAGAAATATGCAAAAATTTAAGATAGTACAATGCCACGGCATTAGACATTACACCGTAGTGACCACCATCATGAAACACTGTCGGAGCACCCAGATATGAACTGACAGGCCCAGTCTCTGTTGAACAGCATCGGAGGAGTTAATGCTGCAATGCCCAATCCTCTACCACAACACCGCTACATCCATTTCTAGTGCCGCCAAGCCAAGGGAGTGACCACATGGATGTCGCAGTGCTCAATTTCAGCAGCGCCAACAGCGCTACAGTTATAACCGTTAGGAATGAGCTACCAGCGAAGCGACGCTGACTATTCACTAAACAGCAGGCCCACGCAGCAATGCCGCGGCTGAGGGAAATTCCTCACATACATAATTATTCATTTTATGGGTGCAAGTGTCTCGAGCGCTGCAGTGCCAGAATTCTTTCTATATTTTCTATAAAATAATCCATTTGTTATTAGTTAAGAGAGGTTCAATCACTCTAGTGGATTTCAATCTTCAGCACGTGCTTCTCTGCAATTCCTCTCTAGGAGTGACAACTAAGAGATTGAAGAGCAGCACTAGATCCACTCATAAGATTGTTGGTTTCAATATTTTGGAAGCAATTCCGGTAAATTCAAAGGAAGTGTAGAGGAAATCATTCAACCCATCCGATATATCTTATTCTTTTATGCTTTCTTTAATTTGTGAATTAATGAAAATGAGTTGCTTCACATGTTCTCACGTTTGACTAAATTCTCTAGTTTTTGATTGATGATGTAAAGGATATGAATATTAATGAATTATCTTCATTTCAATAATTTAATGATATTTTTTTAATGTTGCCATATCTTCATTAATGCACCATATGACTAGTATAGTGTAGTTGATATCAAGTGTAATGTGGAGCCTTTAGGAATAGAAAAGCAGACAAACCAGATATATGAATTTGATATGAGTTGCGAAAGCATAGACATAATTGCTGACATTGAAAAATCAATTTATAGAGATGAATTAATACCGAGGAGGTTAACAGTAATTGGTTTGCTCACTCTTCTAAGATTTTTATAGGGTGATAGATTATCTGTCCTTTGTCATTCACGATTTGACTGAGTAGTCGATGATGATATGCTCTGAATAAACATCAATATAAACAATAGAATCGATTTATAAAAATATATGGTATTTCATTCCATCAATCCAAAACATTTTATCTAACTAGCTTTCATTTTATTTTTTTTTTAACTTTTAACTAATGTGATTAAATTTCCATCAAAACTTATTTTATTGAGTATTATATTGTGAGTACTTATAGTTAGACATTACTAGATTTGCATGTAAATATTATCATTTGGGATCGATACTCTATTCTAGCACTATATTATTTGCATTCGGCACGTATTACTTGCATATATTAAGTAACTTTTTGTATAATCTTTTAATTAAAGAAAATCTAAGATTATATAGGGCATTGATATAACCCCTAAAGTCATTTTCACAATTTTTTAACTCTATTCCATCACCTCGATCTACACAGCTAGCAACGCTGAAATTATTAAGTATATGTATGAGTTGTAAGAACAAACTAAGTAGTAAAACCTTACCCACAGCCAAACATAAATCTCTCCTCTTCCCAAT